CAGCCCTCCATGCCCCTTCCCCCAACCCGCCCCCAGAGAGGCTGCAGGTGAGGGGGCGGGGAGGGAGTAGGGGGCAGGGGGGCCGGCTGGGTGAATAACAAGGTTACACGTGCTTCTTCTTTGCCTTTTTCTCCAGGAGGAGCATAAAGAGCTCTTTCTTTCCTGCTTATTAATAGCTCTGATTAAATTATCTCTGAAAAACCTACGTGGTGCGCGCCAATGGGGGCTCGGCTCCCTCCAGGCTCTGGCCTAGATTACAACAACGAGGGCAGGTGAGGCAATGGGAGGCTGGGCCGGAGGCTGGGGCAGGCCTGCTCCCCCGGCCAGGATAAATGCAGGTCTCTACCCCCTCGCCCTCAGCCTCTGAGCTGCCTCCACTCTGGGGAACATCCCAGCTCCCTCTCTTGGAAGGCTAGGCCTCAGCTCCACGAACTCTTCCCCCCACCACCACCTCTCTCCGTGGCTACCTCCTACCTGTTTTCCACAGGGCAGCAGGCGGCCCTGACATCGCTGCCCCCCCCCTCTCTGGGCTTTCCCCTATCCTGGTGCCAGGATGGTCCCTGATGGCCTTGGCCCGGCCCCCTCCTGAATTCCACAAGGCCTGTGTCTCTGTCTGGGTCACTGCTGCCTCCCAGGTCAGGTACTTAGGCAATGTCAAATTAATAAGGAACTGGAAGAGTTCAAACAGCAAGTGGGAGTCTGGCCCCAAGGTCTAGCAGCTAAGGGAACCGGATCCCACATGGATGACCGTGGTTCGAATCCTAGCCCTGGCGAATTAAAAACACATCAGGCACTCATACAGGTGTGCCCCAAATCCTGACGGGTTGGAGAAAGGTAGGAGGAGTGATTGCAGCATGGCCGTACCCCAATGGGGATGCTTTCTCCCTCTGTCTCTGTCTCATGAGCGCACATGCCCTGAATTAAAAGAGGGGAGGGGAGGGAAATAGCCATCTGTGAGTAAGAGCAAGAGGAAGGCATGACCAGCCAGATAAATACAGGAGGGCGGAGCAAACATTCTAAGCCCCCTGAGCAATATCTACATGGTGATAAATCCCATTTCACAGAGTGGGGCAACTGAGGCACAGAGAGGTTGGGTCACATGACTGGTCACTCCACTCCTTCCCCCTCTCTATCAGAACATAATCATTCATTGGCTCAGATGCATTTAATAAGCCTTTATTGAGCACTGACTGTAGGTCAGATCTAAGCTAGGGAGGAAGTGCAGCCCCTACCCTTGAAGAACCTTCTGGCTAGCAGGGAGACCAGCAAATAAGTGAGCCATTATAACACAGGCTGGGCGTATCTCCGAGGGTGGAGGTGGTCTAGGCTGGAGGGAGGTAGTCAGGGAAGGCTTCCCAGAAGAGGCAGCACCCTAGCTGAAATCTGAAGGAGGAACAAGAGTCAGACACCTGGTGAAGGGAACAGTATTAGCAGAGGCCTGGAGGTGAGGGACGCACATGGAAGGGTGCGCTGGTACTTCAGACGGAACAGTGAGGAATGTGGTGCCCTCTGTCCCCCTTCCCTCAGGGCCTCCTGGACCTCTGGCCAGAGCCAGAGCCCAGGGGCAAGTGGTGCCGTGGACCATGGCAAATCCATCTTTTTTTTTTTTTTTCAAGCAGAAGACGGCATACGATAATGGGTTCGGGCTC